GGGCGCACGCTGCTGGACCCGGTCCGGCCCTGGCGCCCGGCCCGCCGCGAGCATGCTCAGTCTCCGCCTCGGGATCGCCTCCCGCGCGGGAAGACCGGGGCGCAGCGGCAAGAAAGGTTCTTTCCTGACCCCCGGGGGCAGGGGGTAAGCGGTTATGGAGAGGGTGTCAAACTTGGAAAAGGGGCCCAGGGGCAACAAGTAGATGGCTAAGAAAGTAATGGCTCCCCAGAACTAGGTCGCAGTGGCCTTCGGCCGACCCGCTACCCCGCCACCCCGCCAGTTGCTGGTCTCCTTACCTGCATACAGCACGCTGGGTATCAGGCGTGCAGGGATGCGTAAGATGTTCTCCAAGCGAGACGGATTAAGGAAGGGTCAGCCCGCTCCCAGCTACTGAGCACCCTTCACTGGCCGTTTTACAGGGGAACTCTAATTCTCACTGAGGCTGCCATTCGAAGTTCGCGTGGCATGCGTGTTATGGATGAGAAAACAGCCTCCGCTAGGCAGCCGGGACCCTCCCCTCGGAGCTACACTGACTCACAGGAACCAAGCAGCTGGTCTGTGTGAGTGAGTGGCCTCTAATCCAGACAGAGTGGGGGTCAGGGAGGGAATCAGGGAAGGACACTTGAAAGAAGGTGTAAGAACAAGCAGGAGGAGAGATGAGGCTAGGTAAGAACCACCTTCCTGAACAAGGGGGCCCAGCAGGCAGCCCGGAGGCCAGGCAAGGGGACTACCTTCTGACCCACGCTGACACCCGGAACAGCCCAAGGAGGGCCACAGGAGGGGCAGGCAGGGAGGTCTGCAAGGCAGGAGTGTTCATCCACTGGGATCCAGGTGAAGGGGTTAGACCACCCTGAGGACATGGGGTCGGCATGCTGGGAAGGTCCTTCTAGTGGAATCGTGTGTGACAACGAGTGGGGCCGGTATTATTAAAGCTGCAGGCAGAGAAGCCATGAGCCTGCTGTTGGGACTTGAGGGCCAGAGGGGAAGGCCCTGACCTGTCCATTTTGTTTTCCTCCTGACAGCCTCAGCCCAGGACAACTCAAACCCTCAGTGAGTGTCTGGTGAATGGTAAATACACGATTATTTCTCCATGAGAAAATGAATGTCTTTATTTTTAAATGTTTGCCCTTGAACTGAAATCAAGATCATGCAGCATTTATTTTGCCATCGGCATTGCCTTCCTGTGCAAACTCAGTTTTGAAAGCTAACGCAGGCCCCCG